CTTTTTCAACATAATTTCAACATAAAGAAGTAGCCCATAATCGTTCCCGTTTCTTCCCGTTTCTTAGCCGAGGCATACAGTTTTTTTGACCTGAGGGAGGAGCACCGGGGTGGGTGAGTCAATTGGATATTCAACTCATACCCCATCATAGCTTTTTGCACGAGGTAATAACTTACCCTGCCACGGCACTCCTCGCCTCTTGAGGCTCAGTTGAAGACTATAATCTTCAGCCTAAAACCGACTGGCAGCCCAGGTGCATTCAAGCCCTCAGTGTTGAATAGAAGCGATGCCCTCCTCTCCCCCACTAAAAGTTTCCGATTACTTCGTAAAAGTATTGAATGTGGCCTGGAGTGAGAGGCGGTCCGACTGGTGAATGAATGTTTCGTTCTACTTACGAGGTTTTCCGGTCGAGTCTGTGCGTGAGTAGTTGCACAAGGAAAAGGACATAAGCCTTAATGAACGATTGCTGCTAGCATCAAAGACAACTATAAGAGATCCTTTTAGCCCTAGCGGTAAGCATATGCGGCCTGTGTAGAGTTCGTAGTGCTCATGTGATTGGGGCAATCCCACTTCGTTAATTTGTGGTCAGAGATGACTAATTCGTTCTGAAATGAAGACTGAGGGGTCAAAATCTGATGTCGTAAAAGGAAGGAATGAAGCCGGCGTAAACCGGGTGTTCCGACTGATAATAAAAATGTAGAAATATAGGCAATGATATTGGTTTCAGGTTCATGACTCATTCACGAACTTGACAATTGAGAGAAGGTATCGTGGTTCATTGTAAAAGGCATTTGTACGTCATTAGGCCTTGTATATATCAGGGAGTGGCTTACCCTGAAGCGGCACAGGCCAACCTCACCGTCCACTGCGTACCAAGATGAATATACAATATGACTAATAGATAATTGATAAAAGTGATAGGCCAATCCTATTTATAGGCATGATGGGGTACCAAACATCACTTCGACAAATGAGCTATCCCCGGCTGGATTCTCTGTCAATAGAAGATCGCACTGAAGAGGATGAGGGACCTCGGTACATCCATACAGACCAGGTATGTTTCTCACTGAGTTGAGAAACAACTACAGGGGTAGAAGTGGTTATGATAGCCAGATCAGTTGCATGGTGATTTCGCTGTGTTCCAGACGTACATTGTATTCGACGTTGACCAAATTTGGACCGCTTCTGAAACAATCAGTATTAAAAGACTGGCAAAGAAAGGTCTCGTCGCCTACCGATTTATGGTGAGAGTGGAATCATCTGTGAGCAAATGCTCCAAAACCTGAAAATGTAGTAAAACTGAAACTCTAGTAATTTTCTTGAGCAAGAAGTGCCATGAGCAGAAATGCAACCGGCTACCTCCTATGATATTGTGGAAGACAATATAAAAGTTCCTCTCCTAATAGGCTCCAGTATCAGAAGCGTTATTGCGCAAAACTCGGTAACCAGTTTGCCCAGCGTAATCTACCACGGGTCTGTCGCAGATTGAGAAATCAACTTGACCGGCTCGTCACTTTTGAACTAGACTCAAACTCCATACTTTCGACTGGTTAGGGTCTTGCTAATTGTCGTATACATCAAGGTGGACTAAATGGAAGAAGTGAAGTCGCACAGCCTACCGAACGTCTCGCCTTTTGTCCATTTCTTTTTTTGGCTATCAGGACGAGAACGCTGTGCATGTAGCGCTTCTGGGAAATTCAAGTGGAGTGTTTGATGCACCCCTAACAAACCCCGGGGGGAGATGAATATTGTGTTGTGACTTGATGCGACATTTTCCTGTGCGTCTTTGTTATGTACTTTCCTTCAAATACAGCGCCAAGCTTTTTTTTTTACTACGCTCATATCATCATCGAACGAAGATCAGTTGGGTGATCAGGTGGGTATTGTGCGGTATGTAATGACCGTTGGACCAGGACGGTTACTGACTGGATCCCTCGGGACGGCAGACGAACAGAAAGACGGCCGCCAGCGCGACGGTCAACCTTCTTTGCGGGAGCCCTAAACGAAAGGAATACTATGCCTCGCGTCCCTCGAGCGGGGACGATCCGCTGAACTGCTCGGGCTCGCGACAGGGTTGAATAGAGAAATCACTGGCTCTCGCTCAAGAAAGTCGATGATAGATGGGACGACAGGATACAAGTGATTCTCAAATCAAAGAAGGAAGTATTGATATATTCTCGTTCCCCTATAAGGATCGGAGCGAGAACTTGATGTTACTCCCATGCTGAATAAACAAATCTTGAGCGACCTCTCAATACTTACACTAATCTCTCCTCCTTCTCTGCCTGAAAGTAAACTGTGTCTTGGAGTTTGAAAGTCCCAAATGCGCTGTATGCATCGACAGAGTTGTTTGCTTTACTAACATAAGAAAGAGATCAATGTGAGGAGAAATCCCAGTATAAATGGAGATCGCACAGCGTGCTGAATGGTATATTGAGACTGAGACTTCGTTTTAAACATGGAAAAAACACTAGTAGATCTTCGAGCGTACAAGAATTACTATGATCGCAACAGTCTCGACATTCTCTCCCATAGGTTATATGCACGGTGAGCTGCACCGTGCAGATAACCTATGCGAGAGAATTCTTTCTTCTGTGTGATCCCGATACTCACATGCTCATGGAGCTTTCACCCTTTCTCAGGTCGGACTCGTTTGGGAGAATAAAATCACCAATTTGCAAATCAGATAGCCACCGCGAGTCATTGTCCAGGCCAAATACGCGTTCATTACGCCACTACGATTCTGATTGGAAGTCGAAGGTGGGGGCAGATCCCAAAGCGGGAACTATTAACGCCACAAACGTGATCACCTTTGGACTCTGTTGCCTAAATATTACAAAACAAGTCCAGTATGTGTGTATCTGGGAAGGAAGCTAACAGCCCGGTCAACTGGGCCTTAGAAGGGGTGTTAGCATCTATTGGTCATCATGTGATCACCATAGCTTATTGCACCCCCCTTATCCATTTACAATTGTGAAGCCGAACTTCTTATGCCTAACAAAATATTTTTGTGTATTACAGACAAATGCGCCGACACGATACCTCGTCAAGCCTAATTCAGGTGTCTTGGAAGATAGCAAGCCAGTGAAAGTAGGTCCACGTTCAGAATCAATCAAGATGATACGATTTGTTTGGTAATGGTTCAAATTAAGGTAAAGATCGCCTTATACGGAAATCGTCATAACCCGCAGCATATTCTTATTCTGCAGGCAGTAGAAATTTTCTCAAAGGAGGAAGGAAAAATTGTAAGTGAACGCAAAAAGTTCTAAAATTTGTATGGATTCTTGATCGGGAATCAGTATATGATTGTTGGAATCTGGAATGATTGTTCAAATGTAATGATCGGAATTTCTAAGCGTTTAGCTCAATCAAGTTGTCTTTTCTGAGTCTTCAAATCGATGGTACGATGTTCTGCATTCCTCCAGGCAGAACTTTTCATATTGTGCATTACATACAATGAAGGCTCCCATACGAAAACCTGTTATACGAAGCTTCTGTGGGCTGTTTTGTCTTGGTAAATATGGGCAGTATCATGTGGCAGGAGCGCCTAACTGAATATACAAAATTTCTCCTATTCGCTTTTCTGCCCCTACTTCCCTTCTCAAACCAATATTTCAGTTCACTTTGGCTTTGTCCGATGTCCCAAAAGTTCATCTTAAAGCAGACACTCCCTTCCAGTTGTNTAAATATGGGCAGTATCATGTGGCAGGAGCGCCTAACTAAATATACAAAATTTCTCCTATTCGCTTTTCTGCCCCTACTTCCCTTCTCAAACCAATATTTCAGTTCACTTTGGCTTTGTCCGATGTCCCAAAAGTTCATCCTAAAGCGGACACTCCCTTCCAGTTGTGTTGGCTTCTGTTTTGTGAATCTGTATCAGCCAGTTTAGGTATGGAACTCTCCCACTCTAGAACGTCAGTGTGTACAAGAAATCAAATTTTTGTTGGGAACTACGCTTAGTGACGTTGACAAGGTAACAAGATTCACAGACACGAGTAAGGTGAGAGAATTTTCGAGTTTTGTAATTCCGAGCCTCCAGAGTTGTCCTTTATGCTGTACATGAACTCGCGACTTTTCTGTCGGTTAGCAACCGAGGATACTTTTTGTATGCTTTTTTCCTGGAAAAAGTTTTCTGTCGAGTCTCTGGCTAAGAGTTGCCCATTCCGGAGCAGCAAGGTTACTTTTCATGCTATACATTTTTCATACTCTTCGACAGCCACGTCTACCTGCCTACTCACCATCTTAGGCAAG